AGTGACTGGTGAAGGGATTATGACAGTAAAACAAAAAAAACAATATAGGAAAACTTGAGAGAATGCAAGACAGATGCAGAAACATGATGAGAAACACAGCTAACCTGTTTGATAACAAAAATCGTGTAAGAATACAGAAGACTGTTCCTGTGCCCAGATTTTATTATACATAGAGCACAGCTGAAAGTACATAAAGTAGATGGTTGAACTAGAAAATGGATTTCTTAAAGTTTGGATTTCTTATTCAAACTGCCAAAAAGATGTAATAAAAATGTATGTTCAGGTGTTATTGAGACTGTTTATTATTGAACCACAGTATAGTTGAGGTTGGAAGGTGCCCCTGGACGTTATCTTGCTCAACCCACCCTGATCAGGAAGAGTCATCTAGAGCCGGGTGTCCAGGACCACGTGTAAAGGGGTTTTGACTGTCTCCGAGGATGGAGACTCCACAACCTCTCTGGGCAACCTGTGCCAGTGCTCAGTCAAATATGCCAGTCAGAACAAATAATATGACAAGTAGAGTTGAAAATGCATATTTTTTTTCCTGTTGTTAAAGAGATAAATGACATAATTTCAATGTGTCCAATTTGGAAGTTTGTAAATACATTAGTCAAATGTTAGACTTCAGTTCCATGAGCAGTGGAATGCTCAAGTGCATTAACCCTTCTTGCATTTGATGTTCACACTACTGACTTTGAGCAGATGACTGTACAAAACTTTGAAAAATAGCCCACAATCAAGCAAACAAAAACAACTAGCATTAGAACTGTTTCCTTTAAAAATTATTAACTCAATTTAAATTAACATCTGTCTTCATTTAATAAGCTGCTCAGGGGTTGCTGCAGCAAATACGGGTACATAGCAACATATCCTGTTCATTCAGGCTTTCACTTACTCTTAAGTATTTAATGAGTTCCTTACTGACATACATGAAATAAGAACTTCAGGATAGAAAAACTATACTTTTAAAATGGAGGAAAAACCACAAGTATTTTAAGAGACATTAATAAAATACCTTCTTCTAGATCATGACTGCCTCTTTCTTTTATAAAATGTGCTAGAATACACTGGGTTTTGTTATTTGACAGTTGTGATGCAAATTGCAGGGGACTAATTGATCTGTTACAGTGCCCTAAGTGTTACCATGTGCAATTCCAAACACTCTGTGATCAAGTACTCTCCACTACAGAAAACAAGTGAAAGAGTATAAAAGGAAAGGGACCTCTGGCAAAGCTGTAACAATGATTTTCTAGCCTGTGAGTCCCTGAGGGAAAACAGCTTAAATCTGAGAAAACTGTGCTATGTATGTATACTTTCTAAACTTGAAATCTTCAAAACCAGCTTAAAATATTAAGGAAGTATCTGAAAGCAGCAAAAAGGACAAGTGGCTGTACTGGCCAGGAGACAAGGGGCACTGGGGAGTCCCAGGGCAGGACTTCGTGCTGAGATGGTCACAAGCTGGCTTGAAAGAGAAGAAAACTGGAATGTGGTCAGATATTCTCCAGCAGTTGCACCCAAACATATCTTCAGTCACCTTTGAAATAAAGTTAAAAATGAGTCATACCTAACTGAATCTATAGTAGAAAGATTTTCATTTTGAAAATAGAAGTTAATTCCGCCATTTTCAGGTAGAACAAACTAACTTTGAGTAAGTGAAGATAACAATGGATAATTACAGAGCCTAAGCTATGCTGCTATGCAACATCTTAGCTTTGAATGCCGAGGATCTATAAAGCAGGTGGCTGCATACAGCTGCCAAACATCATCTTAACCTCATTAGTAGTCAGTAAAGCAACATCAGAAAGTTGCAGATGGCAGTGAAAGAAAAGACACATAAGAACTAACAAAAGAGTCCTTGAGTGTGTACCTTTACTTGTAAAATAAAGCAGTGTAATGTAAATGTCTTAAGATATGTAGAAGCAAAATATTGCTGCCGTGAATTAAGGTAGTTTTGAGTGGAGGTCTGTTTCTGGGTCACACTAGTGGAAAAACAGCCTCAAGCTTGCTTTCATTATGTGCACATATGTAGTAGGAAAGATAATACTTACTATGGATGATAATTCTGTTTTATTTAAATAGAGGAGCGTTAGTTTCTCTCACACAGAGGACTCCTAGTTGGGCTCCATTCTATTGCCATTTTTAACCTTTTTTTTTTTGTTTCTTTTCTTAGCAACTTGTTCCCTGTTAAAAGCTAGTTAATCTTCTAAACCTGCTCTTCCTTGGGTATGTTTAATGTGTCTCTTAGTCCTCAACCCTATCATATATGCAGAAGGTGAACCTGGTACCCCATGATCTGGTCGCTTTAAACTTACGTATGTGCTACACATCAGGCTTATCATTTGGCTGCCTTCTGGCTGCCTCTCAGAATGAGTAGGAGATGAATTTTAACTGCTTTTTTACTGAATGAGCCACAAATGTTGGTCTGGCTTTTCTACCCAACCACAACTTTTAATCAATGTGTGGGAATTGTATAGCTTTGTCATCTTTAGTCAAATTTGGCTGAAATTGGCCAACCAGTCATAATGGGGGAGTTGATGTGGTGGAGAGGGTAAAGGAGCAGGAGTAAAATGCTGACTACCAGTGCAATCATGTGCATTAATAAATTTAACAAACTGGATGAAAGTCTCTAGTCTGTTTTAGTGGCATCTGTTTTGTGGAGCACTCTATCAATGTTGGGAAAAGAAGCAGCATGAAGAACCCATTTACCAAACTTCACTGGAGTATGCTGATAGAGGTTCCTCTAACAGCTGTTCTCCAAGATACATGTCTTAGTAATACAGCAGAAAAATCCATGTGGTGACCTAATAGCTGCCTCCGAGTGGTCTGAGAAGGAGTCTCAAGGGAGTGGGACAGGAGTTCCTTAGTGAAACGGCAGTGTAGCTGGGCAATAAAAATTGAGCTGCTGCAAAATAACAAGTCTGCTCTTCAAGGATTTAAAGTGGCTCAAGTCCAGCTAACATGACCATTACACGACCTGCTAACATGACCATTACAGCTTTCATATATCATTCACATTCACGTACCATTATAGCATCAATTCAGTAAAGTCCTTCTCCACCTTGAAGGTGGGTCAAGATTTTCCCAAGGATGGGTCACGGGCTTAAATGGTCTTGGTTTCAGAATAGTTTGCTCATAATAATCTCCCCTACAAAACTGGAATTTATTTATAAGTGCCCGTTTATTATGTCATCATCTGTGCTGTGTCAGTCAGCAATCCCTCTTCTGATATCTGTCACTTGGAAGTTACCATTTTTCCACTGAACTGTTGGAGCAGCTTGATCTTGCATCCTGTGAATCATTGTAAATTAGTAACTCAAAAGCTAGCTTTGATAATCCTTGTCTTTTCCACTTTTCAAGGCAGTTGGATAACAGCATCATTGATACAAAAAATATCTACAGCTGTAGTCTGCTATTCAAGAGTTAAACTGCAGAATAACTACTAAGCTTTTAACTAATCAGTTTTTTCAAAAAGTTCTCTTAAATTACAGGAGAAACTCAATTCTTTTAAACTTTTGGGGTTTATACTCAGAATTTGTCCATATTATGTGAAAATTATGTGAAAATATCCAAATCATGTGAAAAATATTTTTTTAAAAAAATATGTACATGCAACGTGGTTAACATTTGCTTAAAAATAAAGGTAGCTCTTTTGCATGGCAGAGATTTTTTTTTTTTGGTAAGGAAAAAACAGGAATACATAAGGCAATATGTAATTTAAGTGTTTAGAATGTATGAATTTTCTTCAGTCTTTAACTACTTAATGTGGCTTAATTTTCTCAGTCAGTTTCAAAGGAGGCAGGAGGTAAAAAATATATGTATCTGTACACAGATAGTGCCAGATTTCAGACTTCATTGCCAATTTGGCCTTAGCCTTGATCTTTTACAGAAGATCTAACAGGAGGTGGCAAGAGGGATAGAAATGTAATCAGTTGGGCTATTACAGAGAAACAATACAGCTAAGTACTTTCTTGGCAGTGTGTTGCTGTTTTTATCCATTCAGCAAATGTAATTTATAAATACATCTGTCAATAAATACAAGGTGGCATCCAACAATGAGTGCAGCAGGGATTTAAGCTGGAGTGTATTGCTGTGTTTGACTCAAAGGTCAACCTTGGGAAGGGGGCTTGAAATTAACATTTCTTGAAAACTGTTTTTCCTTCCACTGAGGCTATCTCTTAATTCCAGCAATTTTCTCTGTTTGATAAGCAGAGAGAGCATCCATTTTTATTATATAAAGGAGGGAGGAGATGATGAAACTTTAAAAAATTTCAACCGGCATTGCATTCTGGTGATAAGAATGGGACTTTATGCAGCACGGAAGAGATTACCTGAAGTAGAATTGGGAAGCAAATTGTATTTACAAAAGATGGCATGATTTTCCTAATAGGTGTTCAAAACAGGTTATTCACTCACACATTCTGCTGAGTTTGACTAGAAATGACTTCATTTCAAAAAGGACAAATCTGATTGAAGGTAGAAGCATTCCCCTTTCACAGATACTTGTCTAAAGGATTTGCATTAAATTTTCTTGATGGAAGCACAGTAGTATTTTATTCTGCATCTGCATGAACTGATAATGTGGAAAATAAAAATACAAATCGTGTCCTTGATTGCTTCATGCTTCAACCACTTGAATTACTAGATTTATGTCTGCAATTATGGAAGAGATGTTGCAGTATGATAGTTTGACAGTAACTGTCATAATTACGTTACCAAAATATAGATTCAAATTATTCTTGAAGTTAAGAGTATTGAAATTATGTTTTCAGGACTAGGTGTAAATTCCTGTGGTTTTATCTTGGTTTTAATGAAACCAGGGTATTTTTAAAGAACTATAGTATGTCTAAATGTTGTCAGTTATTAGTAGGCTACACAAATGTCAAAGATGTCATGTGCTGCAGTTTCCCATGAGCTGTTGCAAAGTACCTTGTCATGGTAAGCACCAACAAGATGTCCATGTGATTCTCCTGATTCTGTTACATTTTTCTACCTCTGTATAGATCCTGGAATTAGTGAAGGGCATGCATTACCAACTGGCCTGTCAGAAGTACTTTGAGTTGACACACGATGTAAGTAGCTACTAATTTTTGTTAAAATATAATCACCATCTTTGTCTTGAGGAAGGCCTTGGAAATCATGCATGAAGCCCAGAGACTGTTTGCAGTTTTCACATTCATCATTAGCTGTCTTGCCTTGTTAGTTTTCATTTCAGTAATTTTAAATTATCTGCATTTAGATATTGATGTTATTAAAACCCTAAACATTACAAGATATATTAAAGGTTATGCTTTCTTCCTGAAAATGTCAATGTTGTTAAGTTTTATCTATTTCAAGCCACCTAACTTTTTCAATGTCTTGTTTTTAATCAAATTTGTGTTTTTTAATATGCTATGCAAGTTTGGTATCTTGAGATATACCATAAAAAATAAACAAAAAGTATCTAAAAATGTAATTAAAACTAATTTCCCAGCACATACATAGTCACTATTGTTAATTTTCACTTGATATTTTTTCACAGTTTTAGTCACGTGTGATTAGTTTTTAAATCAAGACGAACATTCTCAGAGCATTCCTGTTTGCTTAATCACAGGTAAAATTAAAGTAAGATCCTCCACAAAATTGTAAGAGAGCCAGTAACCACAGTCCATTGTGATTTCCTGATTAAAAGAACCAGCTTTTGCGTTGGTTCAAGATTCCATGTCATCAAGAAAAAACAGTGAAGCACAGGCCTTCTTATACCTTTGTTCTCTTCACAACTCAGAAAATTTAAATATCCCTTTCAAACAGCAGACTATGGAACAGACCTACTAAAGATATGGTTGAAGATTAGATGACCCACCCAGGGATGTTTACCATTGGCTTTTTTGTTCTTACTGATTTTCACATTTGATTTAACTGGGACTGTTTGTCTCTCCAAACTTCCAGCAATCATATGTGTGAATATATAGCAAAGGTATACTCTGAACCCATATCCAGTGTTGTTTTGGCAGCTGTAATTGTAAGACAATGTGTTCCTCTTAAGTCTTAGAAAATGATAAGACAGGTCTAATAATTTGGAAGGAATTTCAAACTATTTCAAATTTAGATAATACTTGCCCTGTGTAAGGCTAAGTCAGCAGAAATAATGTTTTTCCAAGATGACTATAGACCCCAAGGTCAACATTCACCAAAGGATAAATCAGCACAGTGCCAAAGTTCTGTTGCATGTTAGGAAAGCTGTATTTCCATTCTTCTATGGCAAATTCCAGAAAAGTGTTTTTTTCGGTCTTGTTGTAATATAATTATCTGTCTTTGCTGCTTGCACTAAGAATCATCTTTGTACTTTGCTGTTGATAAGTCTTTTACTTCAGTGAGAGAAAGCAGAATAGACACTGTATCTACTTAAGGACTCTGAATTTCCTCACCATCATCATCTCTCAGGTTTCTACTGCATCTTTTACTCATGCTGGCAGCAGCTTTGCTGTTGGCTTCAGTAGTTTAGTGCTTGGCACTAAGACTGTGCTAATAAATCCATTTGGACTAGAGTGAGAATGTTTAGCTCTTTCCTTTCGGGGATGAGGTGGGGGATGTGTCTTTGCACCTCAATGCTACTGGTTCAAATGTTACCTAAAAACTACTTCTCTGCCTATTCCATGTAAAATGGGTTTATTAACTTTAATGCTACACCTCTCCTGAACTTCCATTTCACTACCTCACAACCACAGAACAAAAGCAACCATCATTTGTGTGGTCCAGTGCATTGTCTTCAGGGAGGAGCTAATGTATTAAGGAAATGTACATCTATGTAATTTATTAAGTCTTTCAATAAGTGTGGGAAGGGAAAGAGCTACATATGCTGCATGAATGGTTTTACTGTATTTTTCAAGTTCTGGGATATTAGGGCGTACTCCTTTTAGGGAAAGTTATTTTCTAAATAACACTACCATAATTTGATGAAGACAAGCTGTCTTGTGTATGTGAAGAAAAGAAAGTCTTTTGACTTGGTAGAAGTATGATTGAATGGCCTGTAGGGTAGATATTTTCAAACATTATTGTATTTTAATAAGAATCAAGAATAAACTGTGTACATATGGTAACTAGAGTAAGCATTCAGTCAAACTCTACCAAAATACTAAAGTATCTTTCTTGATGGTCAGAGTTGGATTTTAAGCCATATGGAAAACTCCATAATTGTTTGAAGTTCTAATATTTGTACTTGGGTTCATAATAAGCTATTTCATGTTGACTATCCCTTTTAGATAAGTTTTTATTTTGTACTAAGGTGATGAGGACACAAGGAATCTCTGGTAAAGTGGAAATGAGACGCCCTGAAAATGCAAGCAGTGTAACCGTAACCCAGAGTAAATAGTCACAGTAACAGGGAGTGCCTTTCGTGGTCACAATACCAGCAAGATTTTTTTTACTGTAGTCAGTAGAATTGGATGGCAACTCAAAATAGATAAAAATATTTCCACTCCAAACGGTTTGGAGATCTTGGCTACATATATACAGTCAAGTAAAAGAGACTGATGATACCAGCTATGAACTACTAATAGATTAATTAAATGTTCCTGTGACAACATGCCTGTAGAAACAGTGCTTTAAAATCTGATTATAAATCCACTGTTTTAAGAGCCTGAGTATTATGAATAAATTAGAAAGGCTAACTGGCTAATGCCTGTGTTACTAAGTTATATTCCAAAGGAACTAATTATGTTAATGTTGTTTACATGAAAATTGCTCTATTAGTTACTTGTTACAGTTACAGCTGTAATGGCTGATTATTTATATATTATTATTTATCCCTAAACATTTTATTCTTGAGTACTGTTACTTTACTATCCTTGTGTATTTTTAAGAAGTAAATGAAATCTGACACAGCAAACTTCTTGGTACAGAAGAAGCACTTTGGAATAGCTTATTTAAAAACATATGCAAACCTCATTTTTCTTAGTCCTTTGTGATCAAATCACAAGAACACTGGACTGTTGTGTTTTGTTTGTTTGTTTGTTTGTTTTTGTTTTTTTTTGTATTTTTGTTTTTTTTTTTTGTTTGTTTGTTTTGTTTTTGTTTTTGTTTGTTTTTTTTTTTTTTAGAAGGCATGTGGTTAATTCATTACATTTACTGCAGCACCATGATTGTTCCACATGTTTTTTCAGCTCTAGCACTATCAGCTGCCATTTTAAAAGTTCTTGGTTGAAACCGAAAGATACTATCATTACAAAATGACTCTTTCATGTTTTTCAAAACATTAGCTATAGCAGAAATACAAAACTAGAGTTTGTATGAAGGCCAGTACGTGCAAAATGTGTTGAATCAAAAAAAAGTCATCTGTTACTATCATCTACTAGATGGAATACAGTTCTGTCTGAAGCAACAGGCCTTTTCACTTGGATCAATACATGTTATAAGCTTAAATTTTTGACAGTACAGAAAATACATTTTTCTTTGGGCATAGTGGTTTCCAGATGGATTTACAGGTATGAATGGAGAAAGCTGGCTGAGAAATCTAGTTTCTCTATTTCTGATAGTAAGTTTCAGGTAACTTACAGCTAAATTAAAGATGCAGCTTTTAAAATTGATGTGCTTTGATCTGAATTACCTAAAAGCATTTAAAAACTTACACAACATAACATGAGCAGTCTAACATAAAAAAGCCAGAAAATTTATATATGCTTCATCTTCATTGTTGTGGACAAATGACTTATGTATTTTCAACCAGACCAGAATATTTTTTTCAGAGAACCTTGTTGAAAATGATGCAGAACAGAATTGCTTATGTATCACTATATCACAAATGAAGATGATGATGATGATCAAAACTTACCCTTTCTCTCTTTAGGCTCTCAAAAAAAGGTGATAAAATGAATGGGCAGAATTCTTTCAGTTAAAATAGGATACATGGAGTCACACTACAATTTTAACTAACAATCTATAAATAGCCTGTATCCAGATGCTGTCAGTAACCTCTGAAAATACGGTTGTGTATTTTCATTCATACAATGAGCTGCTTCTACAGCTTATTCCAATTTGGTGGCGAGAGTAGAGTTTAGAACAAAGTTAAGAGGTATGAAGTGAATCTTAAATTGGTCTGAAGAAAACTGAGATTTTAAGGCTAAAAAAAAAATAGAACTAATAAAGTGCTTCTTCTAGGAAAGCCAGCTTTTCACCATATCACTTCTTTTTAAGCCTTTTTGGTATAAAGAAGTAATTTAGTTGCCCACATAATGGAAATTGGAGCATGGATGAAAGCTGGCTGGATGAAAGTCATCCAGATAAGACTGAAATGAAATACAGTGGTGGCTTTGGGTTTCTTTTCTTTTACTTTGTATATTTTATTTTGAGTGCCAAATTACTGTTCAAGACCTGTCACTTATTTTTAAGAGTTTTCAAGCAAGGTCACTTACTACAGTTGCTAATGCCTTTTTTGTTTCTGAATTAGATTTTGTCATATATGTCACCATTTTCTGATGGAGCTAAGCTAGGTGGTGGGAATGCATTGAATCAGGGGTCCATTCAAAATGCACATTGATTCTCTGCTTTATGATTTTTCACAAGTGGCTGAATATGTAAACTGATGGGTTTTGGCATATTTCATTAGCCACAGTATATAACGTCATGATATGCTTTATGTGTGCAAAGTTGCTTGTTATGCTTGAATTGGCCCCACCCTTCTGGGAAAAAGGGAAGATAATGGGAGCAGAAAATTACCAGTATATAGCTCTTAGTCTTCGTTGTTTTTTTGTATCCCAGGTTTGGGAAGTTTTCCAGCATTCTTAGTATTTACATGAACTGACAGGCAGATAAAAGGTGCAGATTGCCTGAATAGGAAGTGGAAGCACCTTTTGAAGTAATAATTTCCAACTTCTGAGCCCCTGAAGCAAGATACAAAGGTTATGACTGAGATTTGTGCTGAATATGTCAGAATAGCTTACTTTTAAAACTGAAAGCTTTGGTGATTTGAAATATTTGATGAACATTAATTGAATGTTCATTTATCAAATAATTACAGAGCTGAAAGAATGTGCTTGCCAAGTAGAAAGAAGCAATAAAAATGTGCTGCACCTTATGCTAGTTTTCTGTATTGTTTTTCACTGAAGACTAAATGTTCTTTGGTATTGGTTGTACATCTAGTTTCAGGATGCTGATGTTGGTGCTGATGGAGCAGGGATAAACTTGATCTATTGGGCTTCTGTCTTAGCCTGCTGCTTTGTAAATATTTCATTTGTGCCTACTGGAGAAAACAGGGAAAGAGGTGAAGCTACTTGTTTCCTTTCACAGTTTCACACTGATATGTAAAATCTAGATTTATATTGTGCAGTTGTTACAACTTCTAGTAGTATTCTCTACTGCCATTTGCACTCTAGACTTGTCTTAGTCCCTCTTTTGGGTAGAGAAATGCTGTTTTAAGGTATAGGTTCAACTGTCCTACGTCTGTAAAGGTATGCCATTTTACTTGCATTGTTTTGTATGTTTTGGAGTGTTTTTTTTCCTTTACCTCAGCAAAGACAGTGTGAAATATTGTTTGAATATGCCAAAGCAGTCGTTTTATTTCTAATGTGCAGGAAGAAATTTTGTGATGAAAGTAATTCCATGTCATGCTAATATTTACTGGGATAGTATTTACAAACTGATGCCACCTTCTTCAACAAAATTGTAATGTATTAAATTAATAATTCATTTGTTCTTGAATGTGAAAAATACTACTTTTCTAAATAAATACAATGACTCACTGTTCCTTTTCTTTTATGTGCAGGTTGATGACATTGGGTTTTCTTTGAATCATCCGAATCAGTATTTTACAGAGAGTCAAAGGCTATTAACTGGTAGTAGAGAACTGAAGAAGGAACTAAGTAATTCAGGAAACTCTCAACAAAAAAGTAATAGTCAGGAAAGCATGAATTCAAATTCTACTCCCACTTCTTCAAATACAATGGCTGATGCAGAACTGGAGGGACTAGAGGCGTACTTCACTGAAGATTAAGCAGCTGTGGTATTTGGGCTTTTTTTTTTGTTTTGTTGGGCTTTTTTTTTCCCCTTTCGTTTATTATTTCCCTTCTCTAGCTGAATTTATCCTTATACTAAGGAATATGCACTTCACTGTCTCGAAGACACAGGTGTTTAGTACTTTGAATAGGCTGAAATAAAGAAAGATACTGAAGCTATAATTGCATCCACTACTTTTTCGCAGTGCTTTAGGATACTGTTTTATATGTCATATTGAAGGATGGGAAACAAAAGTTCCTTACCAATTATTAGGTGATTTTTGTCTGATTTACATTTCCAGGTTTTCTTCAAAATGTTTAGATAATTTAATCCCGTTTTGCTGTCACTTTTATATGTTTCTTCTTAATAAATAAATTACAAAGCAAAAGTTCATGGTATTTTCTTTTTAGCTGTATTTGAATGATAATTAAGTAGGAGTTCTTATGACCATAATTATCCTCTGGAGGAGTCTGTCTGTCTCTTTTCTACGTGAAGAGCTGAGTGAAATCAGCTTCCTAATTTGTGTACCTTGACATGAATTCAGAGAGCCGGTTTTGGTGCTTTCAATAGAACATAAGCAGAGATCAGACACCTGTATATAAGAACGTAATCCAGAAAGCTGATGCTCCACCAACTGACTCATCTTGAAGAAGGTAAAAACTTATTAGCATATATTCCTTTTCAATTTTAAAGTTTCCTCAGTGTCGGGAGCATGGCTGGAGCCTCCTGTGCTCTGCTAAGCTAAACAGCTCTGTGAATGCAAGTTTGGGTTACCTAAATTCCACTCATTTCCCCAAAGCCCGAGTCACCTAACACACAAATGGCATTCAGCTGAACAGCGGCCACTGTGCAGTGGGTGGAAGCTCTAAGTAGAGCTGGTATTTTATATCATGCTGTTAGAGTATTCTCCCAGAGAATTGACAGGCCTGACTTTTATTTTATCTGAAGTTTAAGGAGTTTCAAGACAACATTTCCTCTTCTGGAGAGTGACCTAGGTACTGCTATAGCCCTGTAACCACATAAACAGTGGTGTTATTGCTACTGTCTTCTGTTAACTCTGCAAGGCCTTAGGATGAAGCCTCACTGAGCTTGACTCATCTGGGCTTATCTTGCCCTACGTGAAGCTTTCTTTTAGCTGTAACAACAACTGTCATATGACAGCCTATCTTCGTACAATTATGCAGTGTACTGCCTGTGTTTATAATGATTTTGATATATTTTGGTAACTAACGGCTAGCAGTAAGTCATTATTTTGTGTAGAATTAATTAATCTATGATCTTAGGTGCCAGAGGCCCTGTGGGTATAAACAAATCACCCATGGCCAAGTGCTGATCCTGAAAGAAATTCCACCTAAAAAGTTGTGCAAAACAAGTTTTGGGGTGAAGAGAAGAAAGAACAAATATACAACATGAGTAAACCACTCTATATATAATTATTTGGCTGTAATGTGGAACTGTCAAACCAATGAAGAACAGTGAATATAACATTTTTGGAAATGTGTACTATTATGCCAGGTGGACCCTAGAGAGAAGAAAGAACAAACCCCACCATCAGCATCCTACTACTCCTGATGAACAACATGGGACCCTGACTGCATGCTGTTGATCTCGGGAACCCAAGGGGCAGCAAAAAGGTGTGTGCAACACTGGAGAAAGGGATAGATAAAAGAGAGTGTGTGAAAATGTAACATTTGCTAGTTATGTTAGAAATTTTATTTTTACTAAGATAATTGACTGAATTAGAGTATTAAAATTGTGGCTGGACTAGAGACTGTTTGATTACTGTTACGATTTTTGGCTAACTGTAAATCTTAGGCTTGTCATATGTAGAGTGTTCCTTTAAGGGCACATACCTTGCACAGAATTAGTGCAACACCAGGCTTTAAAAGCAAAACATGTTGTTTGTTGTTAGAAGAGGATCTGCCAAGATTCACGTTGCATCACTGAATCCTGCATTGGGGGGTGCTTTAGTAGACACAGTGGATCATTTTAATAGAAGTGAAATTGTTTGAGACCTGCAATGAGATTTAAGTTCCTAAGTGAATCATCTGGGAGAAGAATGAGGTTGTTGAGGCACTGAATGCAGGTGGTGTTTCCCAGACAAGGGAAATTGTAATTTCTGATTCAGTAGACACGTTTCTGTTATGGCCTGAGCCTGCTCATGTAGACATTGTCACTTGCTGTGTGAATAAAACTCCTAGCTCTCCATTTCTGAGCTTTACACGCACTTAGAAATCTGTTATGTTGGGAATGGGCTGCTTGTTCACGTATTCTACAGTGAATTGCTACATTAGCAGAATAAAGTTGTTCTTAGGATTGCAAGCATAAAATTTAAAAAATAAGTCTCTATTACGAGGAAGAGCATATAACTACACAAATCTCCTGAATAGAAAAATCTTAATTTGAAGTGTAACAAACATAACAGTATGTGACAAAGCCTTTCTCTTTCATTGGTTTATTTCATTATTGTGAGCTTACCTCCCTTGATTAATAGCACTATAAATTGCTTTAAACTATATTTTCCTCCCTTTTATCACCTGTCAGGAGGACTATAATAAAATATATAACAGAAAAATGTACAAATTATAGCATACAATTACAAGTAACTAGCAAAGGATTGAAATGAATGCTTTTGTTGCTATTTGAAGAAAATGTCAATTTATTTTCATATTTCCCACATTTTGACCATTTTGATTTTTGAATATTTTGAATATGATAATGTAGAATAACCCAAAATGAGAATCCTCCACTTGAGCAGTTGGACACTGAGGACCTTTAAACTCTTACTGCTTTGTAAATTCACTAAGAATCACTTGTTCCTTGATTATAGAGCTGTTAGAGATTACAAAGGTAAAATCACTAAGAATATGTAAATCATTCATTTGAAAACATTTTCTGCATTGCAGAAGTTCTATTAAAAATTATATTTGGACAGAAGATAAGGATTCTGAAAACCAAGTGACCTTGATATGATTACACAGTAGTAAAAAATAAACCAAATAACCAAGTGAACGAATAACCAAACAAAACCCTGCAAAATTCCAAGCCCTATTCTTTTACAAGTTGAAAAGAAAATGTATTTCTGCAATAAAGCAATGCAGATGGATCTATTTGCAAGTGTCAGCTCTCCTGAGTGAATCTTTAAAGCAAATTTTGTTACATTTTGCTACTTGAAAAAAAGGAGATGCACAAACGTCTAAAGTCTGAAACTGTTCTGGACAGGACACTTCTGTATTCTGGGTCAGAAAAAGAGGTACTAAAAGGATATTTGGTTGCATTTCCGAGGGGATGCACTGTGCCCAAAGGTAGCCCTGTGCAGCTGTGGTGCTCATGTAGGAAGTACTCTTCTTTACAACATCTCATCTTAAATGTACCACAGTTAAATTTAGAGGTGGATGTTTCAAAAGGAATGTTGGTCCATAGCTTGTGGTCTTTTGAAGTGTTAGCATCAAAGACAATAAAACAGTCTCTGACTTCAAAGCCTTTCAGGACTTAATGGAGAACTTTGCTACTGGGTGTTCTGCAGAAGGAAGGGTGAGGAGCTCACAAGCTGGGTGTGACTTACAAAGTGCCCTGCTGAGATGTGGGGTGCTGCCCCGGCAAGGGGAACGGCGAGAGCAGCCTGCACCATCGCAGCACCATTGGAGCGGATCCACACACACAAAAAGTTGATGCCGGGCACGTGGCGTTCCTTCTGGGCGTGTCTTGGGAGTTTTACTTTGGACGAGTTTTAGTCTTCCAGTATGGCTGGAGTGGTCATTAGCAGATAGATGATCATTGCAGAGTGTGCCTTTTGGGTGAATTTCTCCCAGAAGGAATCCAGTCCGCATGCTCTCATGCCAGACGGCAGTGTGAGCGAAAGCAGAGTAAGTGGGGATGGCTGAGAGATTCCCTTGAAGATGGTGAATATTTCAGTCAGTTTCGAGCCCATGTAATTGAAAGGCACGTGGCAGCAAGAATACATTTAGAGAATGAGACCAGGCAACATCTTTGTGATGCAGGTGCTCACTCTGTGGTGCTGTTGTTTTCACATGGTTGTGAAATGTGTAATATAAAAAACTGCCTCCAGTTTGCATACTGAGCATGATGTCCTATGGTATGAAATGTCCCTTTGGCTAGTTCGGGTCAGCTGTCCTGGCTGTGTCCCCTCCCAGCTTCTTGCACACCTTCTTGCTGGCAAAGCATGGAAAATTGGAAAGTCCTTGACTCAGGAAAAACACTACTTGGCAACAACTAAAACATCAGTGTGTTGTCAACTTTATTCTCACACTAAATCCAAACCAAAGCACTGTACCAGCTACTAGGAAGAAAATTAACTTTATCCCAGCCAAAACCAGGACAGTAGGTAAATTGATTGGAAAACAGGTATATAAATAGTTGGAACAATGTCAAAAGTGAATTGTAGTTGAGTAATATGTAGCAATAGTTACCTAAATACTAACTTTTTAACAGAGGAAGCACTGGAAGGCTTTAGAAGTGGGTTAGGGTAAGTGAAAAGTAGATCAGTAACCGGAGACAGAAAAGTGATGTCGATGTAGATTTGTCAAGGGGGAGCAGGACTTGGTGGTTAGGGTGAAAAGAGCAGGAAGGTGTATGAACTCTCAGTATTTCTTAAAAAATCGTAACCACAATGAAAGCATCACAAGTTGTGTTTTTAGAGAAAATGAAAGTTCTCAACTGAGTTGAAGATGTTTTGTCATATAATCATAAACCTTAATTAAGTTAGTTCATGAACATGGGTTGATGTAAAGGACGTTAATATAGCAGAAGCAGATATGGCATAATCTTAATATTTATTTTTTAGAAGAACATTGCATTCTGCTCAGGATCAGAGTTGTATCGTGGAAGGTGTTAATGCAAACAGAAAGTCTGCCATGCTTAATAGCAGCACTTAAAATGTGAACTTCTGCAAAAATCAGGTTAAATCAGAAGAAATGTCATTGCTCAAACTGAACTAGTCAAATTGATGCACGAACTACTGGATGAAATGTAATGGTGTGTGTTGCACTGTTCAAAGTAGATGATCCAACTGGCCCTTTTGGCCATTAAAGTCTATGACTCTTGGATTTATTTTTATGCTTAATAAGAATTTAATCTTCCAAGGTGCAGAGTGTCCTTGGTTCAGACAGCTGCTCTAGTGCTTTGGGGTAGAATATAGAGGCATTCTAAGTAGCGACCTAAGAGTTAGAAATGTGTGATTCAGCCACCCAGCGTCCAGGTCTTTGGAGTGTCAGTGCTTTGGCCAATTACAGTTTTCAGAGAAATGGTTGGCTGTAGAAAAACACCAGGAAACCTGATGAATGACATAAATTCTACTCTGATCTCTGGTGTTAGAGCATAATTAAAATAGGTAAAGTTCTTAACGTGCTCTAGGTAAA